AACCTACCTCCCTCCCTGCAGCCTCTCCCCTCCCCCCGCCACGGTGCTGGGTCACAAACCTCCCTGCCCCCTCCAGTTACCCGGCCCACCTTCTGTGCACATCGCTGCATACGAATATACTTTGTGCATCTATTGTCAAATTCACAGACTCCAAAAACGGAATTGAGGCTCTCAGAAGGAAAAGCTTTCCTGTCGCAGTTTGGTGTGAAGCTCTGAGAGAGCTTGTCTCCGAGCGAGTCCTGGACAAGCAGGTGCTCCGGACAAGCGGACCCTTGGCCAAAGGGCTCATTAAGTGCGCAGAGGCGGTGGCCAGGCCACTGTGGCCCACGCGGGAGGAGAAACCAAACAGCCACCATGGAAAACGGGAAGGGCCAGGCCATAAGCATTTGCTGTGATGAACTCGAGGTGGGAGTACGTGGCCACCGGGGCTGGGGGCCCTGATCCTACCGGTCCCGTCTCGGTCCAGCCTCACCCCGTAGCCAGTCAGTTTGCCTTCTCTTGCAGGGGTGGCATGCTGAGCAAAGCCTCTTCCCAGCTTCATCAAGGGACCACTTGCATCCCTCGACGTCACCTCTGAAGTCCCCCTGGAGCACCTTCTCGGCTGCGAACTTGGCTCTAGGGTGGTTCCTCCGCTGCGCCCAGCTCCAGTCACTCCTTTCTCACTCGCTCGCTCATTTATTCCCCAATTTACCCGTCCTGTTACCTACTCCGTTTACTGAGCGCTTACTGTGGGGCAGGCGCTGTTCCAGGCCCGAGGAAGCCAAGGCAAGTAAGAAGCAGTGGTGCTGGGTGCAGCGGAGGCACCAACCACCCTGCAGCCACGTTCACAGCCAGGAAGATGCCCCAGGGGGGACGTCACGGAGAAGGTGGCATCTGAGCCTGTCCTGAAGAGGCTGTGACGGCCTCTGTGACAGGCGTCAATGTGTGCGCATCAACAGGCTTTTACGTCCAGCTTGTGAAGGCGTAAGCTCTCATCCCATTGCCCCTGCCATCATGCTGGCATCGGTCCCAGCAAAGCGAGGGGTGTTCCTCGTGCGGACACGCCCATTCCTCGCAGGGTCAGTCACCCTCTCCCAGGCCCCTCACAGGCGGGAGAGACTGTGAGCCAACCGGACCCCTCTAACCGTCCACTCCCTGGAGGCCTGGAACACTTCAGGGCGCAGCATACACTGCATTGAGGTTTGGGGGGTCACACGGCAGGGCACCTCTCCCGGTGGCTCCTGCACGGCAGAGCCAGAGCCCGGCGGTGAACAGGCTTGGGCTCCTTCGTCAGCAGGGCGATGCTTAGTCCCCAGTGCCTCCTGGCTGCGGATGACGGGCAGGCCTCAGTTTCTCCAGCTGTAAAATTGGATCGTAATAAGCTACCTCTGGGGATCGTTTGGAGGATCCAAAGAGACCCTGGATGTGGAACATCTCGCCCACTTGCCACACAGTGAGCAGTGAGCAGAGGTCATGTCCCTGACCCCCACTCTGAGAAGAGGCCCCACTTAGTTGTAACCTGGCATCTGGGGAGGGCACGGAGCCTGTTAGGAGCCAGCTGACAGGTTTGCAGGTTCTCAGGAGGCGGCGGGGAGCAGAGCAGGGTCAGGGAGCAGGGCCGCGCCCCCAAGGGTCTGTGACCAGTGTCCCCCCGCCCCGCCTGTGTGGCTCCCACAGCCGCTCTCTGCCTGTCTCTGGGTCTCACTGTCTCACCCACCTCAGCTCTGCAAGACCTGGTTAATTTGGAGGAGTAATTTTAATCAATTAGAGAAGTGTAAAATAACTGTTCTGCTCTGCTTGGGAAACGGGCCTGTCGTCTTTAAGGCTTTATTGAAAAGGCATTAAGATGGAATTGTGTGTTCCTGGCAGGTAGGCAGCGAGGAGGGGCTGCTGGCGGGGGAGGGTTGCAGTGCGAGCCGGCTCCAGGGAGCAGGGCTCCATCTGCTGCATGTCAAAGCCAGCTGCTCGGCCAGACCCCAGGCCCAAAGACCTCCGAAGCCACACGCACACACGCACACACGCGCACACACACTCACACACACCCCCTGTGACGACCCAGTGACCTGCCCCCGCTGCCATACCTGCCCCCCCCGTGCTGCTCACTGCCCCCTCGTCTCCGGGCACCGCTGACTGTGGAGGGGCTTCTGCACGCAGCCCACCTCGCTGTCCACCGCCCGCAAAACGAGCGACCCCCTCAGCGCGTGCGCACGGTAAGCAGGCGACCCTGGCTCAAACCAAACACTCGATCGAGCAAGTCAAGTTCATCTCTCCCAGGTCCCTGTGGGGGACGGATTCGCCCCGCTATCTTCGCCGCTCCTCCCTGGTCGTGTTTCCTGTGTCACCGCGCTGGTCACCCAGGAAAGGGTACCGTCATGCCGACCGTGAGCGCCCGTCGGCTCGTGCCACCTGCAGATCTGTTTAGAACCATCATGTCACGCAGGCGTTAAAATACGTGTCTCCTCTGTGTTTAAAACGAGGACCTGGAGTGAGACGTAGCCAGTCCCCTGTGTCCTGTTGGCACCCCCAATTAGCCCTGCACACCCCGCTCTCCACACGGAGCACAGCCCAGAGGGCGGTCAGCTCCGGGCCCACTCACTGGGGATCCCCACATTTGGCTTCAGCCCTGGCCAGAGATCTCATCCCACAGACCTCTGGGAGCACACTGGGAACGTGTGAGCAGGGCTGCCACAGCGCCCTCCGGTGAGCTGGGGTGAGGGCGCCAAGTACCCGCAGGGCCCCTCCGAGCGGGTGGAATGCAAAGCCGTTCACGCCAGGAGCAGTCAAAGGATGAGGGAGTAGAAGGAGGGTGCTGCCTCTCGCAGCCATGGCGGCCTGTCCCCCTGCACGCGGCTGACAAAGCTGAGGCTGGCGTAGCAGCTTCACATGCCAGGTGGACAGCTGGGGACCAAGGGAGTGGCTGTGGGCGCCTCCTGAGAAAAGGCCCCGCGGGATGGGTTGATCCCTCAGCACCTGCTAGCGCATGTGGATTTTATAGTGTGACCCTGAGCTATCAAGTCATGAGGGTGATGACGTTAAAATGTCATCACACTTGAGCACTTAACTAAGTGCCAGTCCCTATTCTCAGTGTACTAACAGCTTCAGTCCCCGTAAGGCACCTACGAAGTGGCGTGACCATTATCTCTACTGAGAACTTAGGAAACTGAAGATCGAAGTGACTGTTGCACAGGTATGGTGAGCGGCAGAGCCCGGATGCTGACCCGGGCGCCCGCCCCCACGGCTGGCGGTCGGTTATAACCTT